TGGTAGAGTGCTTGCCTTGCATGCCTGAGGCCCTGGGTTCGATTCCTCAGCACCACATAAGCAAAAAGAAAAAAGCCGTAAGTGGTGCTATGGCTCAAGTGGTAGAGCGCTAGCCTTGAGCTGAAGAGCTGAGGGACAGTGCCCAGGCCCAGAGTTCAGGACCCATGACCAGACCCCCCCCCAAAAAAAAAGAAATAGAGGTATCTTACAGAATTATATTGTATTCACTCTCCTAATAAATTATTATACATAATTCTATGACATCCCTACTATCCTCCCTCTCAGATACAGATAAAGTAAATTTACATCTCAGTATTAAGTATAATTTCTTCTAGTAAGTTATGTAAAAAAATTTCACACTACTTGGAATATTATAAATAATTTGGTTTCAATTTCTATTGTTAGCTATTCAGAGTTAGGCAGATATAAGAATATATATGAATTTTGTATATAATTACAAAAACGGAAAATGATACTGACAATGTCAAAAATGTATACTAACTCCATTTACCCATGCAAATGACATCATCTTTGTCTGGTATGCAAGTAATTAAAAAGCTCGAAGAGCAAGCATGTTGATTTTGAACAAGGAATTGCACATCTTTAAATCTAATAACAATCTTCAAATTATCTTTTTAAAAGTCTGTTTAAATTTAAAAATCAATGTTTACATGAAGAGCAAGAAGCTATTTTTTAGAAAGAGTGGATCTTAGGAAAAAGGAGTAATAAACGGTTACCTTAGTGCACGACTGAGTTTCTCATAGTTCATTGTAGGCTTATTTTTACGTTGTCCCCATTTCTGTGCAACCAGTTCAGGTTGATTTAGCTTAAACTCGCCTTCATCGCCAACCCAAGAAATACAGTCTCGAGCATCCTTATCGGTAAGAAGTTCTAGCAAAAACTGCCACAGTTGGATCTGACCATTGTTTCCTAAATTAACAAAAGAAACAATTATTATCCAACACTGTTATAAATTAACACAGGGCAATGCAGCACACAGAATTCCTGGTATAGTGCTCAGCCATGGCAAAAAAAAAAAAAAACACTTTGTTTTTATATACTGTTTAAACACAGCCAGAAGAGCAGTTTATATTCACATGTTATATGGTGAATTAAATGACATAACTGGAAAATTTTTACAAATACAAGTTAATGCAAAAATACCTGTTCTGTTCCCAGGTGAGCTTCTATCTTCTCCTGATATTCTTGGGGCTCTTTGTACTTTAGCTGCCTTTGTACTACTATTTATAACTTTAATGGTAGTTGGTGTAGCAGATTGCACTGATGCTGGAATAATTTGCACAGCTACATGAAAAGACATGGAGAAAAGATATTTTTATTCCTAATACAAAGTGAAAAAATTCTTAAAAGGCATTTAAATGCTATCAATTTAACTGTTCCTCTGCATCACAAGTTCTGAATAAAAATGCCTCAATTTCTGATAATAAAAGTATACTGTTTGTGTTGTAGTTTGTGAGTGTTAGCTTAGTAAAACTAATTTCCTCATTGATATAATAACAGTAGTGCATAAACACTTGACAAATAATTACAATACAAACATGCAATCATATAAATGGTTTCCCAACTGTTTATTTCTTGTTTTTTTTTGTCTTGTTTTTTGGTAGTACTAGAGTTTGAATTCAGGCCCTCACACTTGCTCAGCTGGCACTCTACCATGTGAGCCATGATTCCAGCTTGGCTTTTTGCTAGTCATTTTGAAAGTAGGTCCTGGTGACCTTTTCTGCCGGAGCAGGTCTCAAACCCTAACTTGTCTGCTCTCATCTCCCTGAGTGGCTAAAAGCCACTGGCACCCAGCAACTAAATTCTACTACAAAAGAGAATATGAACTCAATCATTTCAAGAAAAAACTTAGGCACTACCTACTAATATTGAAAGGGTAGACACCCTGAGATGCCATCTCACAGCTCACTGAATGAGGCTCATGGGACTTAAAAGAACTACTACTCAACAGTAGTTGAGTATAAAATTGAGTAGCTAGTTCTTATAAATGTTAAACATAAAAAAAACAAGCTATAAAAAAGTTATGCACATTATCATTGTACTACAAACCTCTGAACATGTACAAAATAATGCTATGTTTATAGTTAACACAGTTGGAACAGATACAAAATATACAGAGACAACACATCCAGTTGAGATTAGTTTCCCATTCAGAAAGAGTACAATAGGATTTACATAGGGAACCTGAAATTATAGTTTTATTTCTTATGATATACATGTAGTTGTCTGGATACTTTCTTTGTATATATAAAACCTATCATTAATACTTTTTATAGTTTTGCTTATAATATCAAATAAAATTTTTTTATCAGTTTTATGAGCAAATATTATAGCAATGAATACTCACGTTGATCAATTGTAACTATTTCATTCATCTGTTGTTCTTGGCTTGCCAACACATCTGAAGAACACATAAAAGATAGTTTTTATTTAAAACCAGAATTACAACCAGTAAAACAGCTTAATAAATATGAACTTTTTAGAGAAACCACAAAATTAAAGTAAAGCAAAAACAGCAAATTATTAAACTGAAACTTACTGGGATAGAAATCTTTATAAAATACATGATGGTTACTTTTTATAAGGCAAAGATACCTTTAAGAGATGTAACATACAAAAAGTTCTTTCTTTTAGTGTTCAGAAACTATTTCAAAGCACCATGATTTTTAAAATATAATTACCTGTACCTATGTCTATTATCTGTCTACATACAGCCCTAATCAGATCAAACAAAGATTACACACCAGACTATTTACATACCTATATAACCCACAAAAAACTTCCTCTGAGATATTGTTAGTTTTGTGTGGGGTGTTCATGTGTGCACACATGTGTGCTTGGACTAGGGGACATGAACTTAGGGTCTGGACCCTTAGCTTTTTTCAGACAAGATAGTGCTCCAGCACTTGAGCCACAGCCTCACTTCTTGCTTTTGCTGGTTAATGGGAAATCAAACTCTCACAAACTTTCTTTCTTGAGCTAGCTTTGAACTGTTTTCCTTAGATTTCAAATCTCAACCTCCTGAATAGGAGGTAATCCTCCTGGTAGGATTACAGGTGTGAACCACTCTCACCTGGCTATAACATCCATTTTTAAAGAAAGCTGCTCAGCTTTGCAATGCTGTTTAAAGATAGCTAAATTTCTAGTAAAACTTTCTACTAAAAGTCACAATTAAACTAAGTACATTTCTATATCTCTAAATACAACTCTCAATTTGACTTATACTATGTAATGTCTTCACATAATGCTTCACAGAACCATTCATTATTCAATTTACCGTTCATCATCCATCTCCAACACTTTCACTTATTAAACCATAATTACACATAACTGTTGCCTAATAATTAAGCTCATTTAGTAGTTATAAACTATGTTTATGTCTTGAATCCTGTCTACTGAATCAAGTTTTCTTCGTGTGATTATGAATTTGTGGACTTACTGTTATATGGGACTAGCTTCAGTTCAGATCCTAGGTCTATGATCTTAATAATCTAAACATTAATTTCCTCATGTCTAAATGAGATACCAACAACTACCATGTGAAAAAGTTGTGTGAGGATTAAAGGCATAGTACGAAGTTAACTAAGTAGGCTGAAGATGTAAACTATTTTATTTGGACTTTGGGTCCTGAGTAATCTACCCCAGAACTGCTGTCTCCCTTGAAGAGCCATCAATTCCTTAGGTTCATCATATATTTTCATCAGAATTTTCAACATACCCCAGAGAATACTACTGAAACTGAAATTGTTCTATTTATGATTAAATAAATGGAGGTCCCCTAACCTCAAAAGAGACAAGTAAGAAAGCAACTATCAGAAGAATGACCAGCCCATAAATCAGCTTTCAAGTCCTGATGTGTGGTTCCTGGAGAACTTTCAAGATAAAAGGAGAATATGGAAAGAGAAGAAATTTTAGTCCAAGAAAACACATGCACTCTGAATGTCACATTTCCCCCAGAAGTCCCCAAATACTAGCCATGCACAAAGGAAGCAGAGTCCTCAGAGGTAAAGTCCTGAACAACCATTAGGCACTAAATGTGTAAAGCAATTCTTTTTTCTTAAACAATACCGTCAACAAACTGAGACCTTTGCCTTTAGTGACAAAAGACAGACCTTCACATTAAGAAGCTTGCTGTACAACTGGTAGTACTGGCATGTTTCCTAATACTCTTCTCAAGTAAAGAACAACTTGGATACAGTTTTGACATAAGGGGAAGGAATGCAGGTGGTGTCTCCAATGGGTATTGAAAAAGTTTATCTGCAAAAGAAACTCTCTTCAGCATTACTTCTTGACAGATCACTAAGGATGAATAGATAAAGGCTGGGTCAATAACAGTTTTGTCCCAGGAATTAGTGCCTTTCAGATCTAGGTTGCAGACTTGGCTCCATAGCAGGGACCAGAGTATCAAACTGCCCAAATAACCCCATTCAGTTGTGAGGCTTTATCCTTTTTATCCTATAAAAGCTGAATTGAGTCTTTCACTCTCAAATCAAATGGGACTTCCCCTCAGGGCAGGGCGAAGAAACACAGCTAGACATGCAAGGAATTCTGTGGAGTGTTTAGGTAGAAGGCTGTGGGACTTTGTTGCTTTTGAAAACCAAGCAGCAATTGCAGAACAGAGCTTTTCTGTGGAATAATCTCTCTACTACATGGAAATGGGAAGACAGAGGAATCTTTGGCCTGAGTAGGGAAAGTGTATGAATGAGTACACTTTACAATTTGAGAAGCATTAGTAGAACCAGACAGAGATACAACAAAGAGTTAATCTGGCAATTTGGGAAAAACTAGATTCTGTCATCATCCTTAGTGTATTCTTGAGAATTTCTACAAGAAAATGTCCTACTAAGATGAGATTCAATGCAAAAGCCTGAAACAACCCATAATTTACCTTATTCAATTGAAATACTCTGCAGAGAAAATGTAAAACCAATAAAAAAATTTCAAATGAGATATCTGAATTATTTATCTGTAAGAACTGAAACTGGAAATGAAATCTAAATGAGTGTTTCTTTTATCTTTTTTGCTGATAAGAGAGTTTGAACTCAGAGCTTGTTGGATCAACTGGCACTCTACCACTTGTGTAACACCTCCAGACTAGAGTTCTGTTGGTTATTTTAGAAATGGGGTCTCAAAAAAATTATTATTATTATTTTTGCGAGGGCTGGCTTCAAACTGCAATCTTCTAGTCTCAGCCTCCTGAGTTGCTAGGATTGCAGATGTGAGCTAGCAGTGTCTAGCTTTGTAGTCAGCCTTTAGTGATATTTATATAAAGGCTCTAAAAAAAAAACATTGGGGAGTAAAACTATGGATAAATGCTGAATAAAAGCCTCTTAGCAAAACTCTTACATTCAACAGCAGTGAAAACATGTTGGGTAAAAATGCTAAACATGAAGCTACTGTGAAAGATTCTCCACCAGAGTTTTCCCTCACTGAATATACAGTTTAACAAAATCTAGACAGACCATTACACTAGCATTCGTAACTGCTACAAAAGTAGAGTCAGTCTGTCCTACTATTAGCTGTAAACTATGGGGATCAGGTTAGCATCTCTACAAAATATTTCTACAAATCACTGCTACGGAAATGGCTTGCAGTGAAGATGTCTAGTCACTAAAATTTAAGATAAATTAAAATTCAAATAAACTTACATTTATTTGAACTTTTTAGGTAGCCAAGCTCTTCTAATTTTCCTACAAGGTCACTTGATCATATTGTCTGTCACAAGTTATAAGCGGAAAGACTTAGAACCAGTATGTTTAAATTAGAGATGTTGGCTACATACTTAAACTTCTTTCTCTAAATATCCTATAGAAGTCATTTGTGAACAAATCATCTCAATGTTCTAGAAGAGTAATAAATGGAAGGACTGATGATTCATGGAATATTTTTAAAGGGCCATAAGTAGGCCACAGCACCTGATTTAAACATTTGATTCTAGCTAGTGTTGGTGTTGTACACTTGTAATCCCCACTACTTAAGTCTGAGCCAGGAGGATTGTTTGAGGACAGCCTAAACAACACATAGCAAGACCTGGGAGTCTAGTGTGAATTTGGGTTAGAATCCCATCTTCATCACACCCTACTTCGGTCACTCTGTGGAGATCCTAAAGCTTCAATTCCCTATCTAAAATTATGTAAAGTAATGATGTGTGGATTACAGGAACTAATGAGGTAATACAGAGTTCTCAGGATGCTTTATATAGTAAATTATTATTGCTTAACTGATTATTAACTGCTTGTTATTACTTTTAGCAATGAACAAGATGATAAAGTTGTAAGGAAATGAAATTAATCTTAAGTTACAATGAAAATAGATAATAACTATTTTTATACATTTTCGAAGTAGCTCCAGATGACTCCAAAGAATTTCTCCCCGAGGAACCCGCTGAAAAAAATCTTCTTGGCTGAGACTACATAATTCTCTTCCCGAAATGTTGAGTGTGGTGAGGTCTATATCAGTCATGCTGAACTCCTTCATTACCCAAACCACCCAATGCAGGACTTGGTCTGTGGACCACTGAATAGGATCTAGAAAGAAAAATATTACCTTTAGCCTAGGTCCATGTTAGATATTTGTACTTACATTTAACTTGTCAATACATAGATACACAAGTAAAACCCACACAGATTTTTTACCCCCAAGTGAAGTGAACTCATAGGAAGTAAGTTTTAATAAGTACATGTTTTCCTCAACTCCTTTTCAATTTCTCAGACTAAATTTTTGATGGAGTCAGTTGGTTCTATATAAGTTGGTCTGGAATTTTATCAAGAAAACAAAAGGCAAAATAATTCTTCAGGGGGTAAATTGGAAGAAATACATAACCATCTTGGAGCTACTGGAGTAAATATCCCACTCAAAATACTATTTTGTAGCATTCTCTGATTAGGTACATTGAAAAAAACTATAATAGGAATCTAGGGAGCTAAGCTTATTCTCAGAAATTGTGATCAATGTACATTTTTTTTTTCTTTTCCTTCTACAAAAGATTAGTTGCCCTACACTTAACTTGTATGGTGGCACTTAAAAACTAACTTACTTACTACCTGTTTATTCAGCCTTTACTATAAGGATTGTGACTGAAAACTACCTTCAGAGTCCATCACAGTGCCTTGCACATATATCTGTTAACTTTACAAAAAGGCATACCCCAATAATTTCATATGCCCCATCATTATTTACTATTTAATTGAATTCACAATTCTAATTGAAACAGATGGCTAGCTGTATAAATATTACTTCACTGTTTGCCTGGCACTCTTATGAACACATTATTTGTGGATATTTAATAAATTCTAGCTGAAATAGCTATAGTAAAAGAACTTTTCTTTTAAGATAGAAGTATACCCAATAATTGAATGCTATTTAATTAAATAAGTTGAAAAATAACAGTCAGGTACTTATGTAGTGACATTGTATAGAGTAAAAGTAAATTAAATATATCAATATAGGGTAAGTCACCGGATTTTTTTTTTACTTAAATGTTTCCACAAAGAATGGGAAGAAGCATTCTAGAAAGATGGTAGTGAAATTTCATAAAGAGAAAAAAAATAACTAAATAGCAAAATAACAATAAAAACCATGCATGTTTATAACAAAAGTAGGTAAGGTAAGATATACTCACAGACTCACAATATACATAGGTGAAAACAAAAAAAGTTTTAAGAAAATGGATATAGGATTCACACCTGCAATCCCAGCTACTCAAACCCTGAGGCCAATGTGGGCAATATAAAAAGAACACACACAAAAAGTACAAGACCTCCATCTTTGTGCAAAAGAAAGCAAAAGGACATCTGATCTAGTCTAAGCATAGTTTAAAAACACCAAACACAGCCAAGAAAAGTAGTCACTGACAGCACAAAAGATCAAATAAAAAAACCAAAAGCTAACATATAGTTTTCCTCAAGCAGTCCAGAGTAAGAGAATGAATATTATATAGAAGTAGGAATAACAAAATAGTAAAGGAAAAAGCTAACAAAAAACACATTCAGGAAAAAGAAACAAAAATAATCAATTCTATAATACTAACCTGAAAACATTAGAAGAATGGTTTAAGTTAGAAAATCTATCCTGAAGCCTCTTTTAAGAGTCTAAGAGCTCAAAATGGACAAATAATTAAGTTCAAATAAGCCAGGAAAATATAGTAACCTATTTATTTTCATAAGTAATATCAGGACAAACCTACTTGGTTTGTTAAACCAAGTATGTATGAAGATTCCAGTGAAATGAATACTAAAAGAGTCATTAAGAGATAAAATTATAGGAGACCATTCATGAATAAAGTGACAGACACAGGTAGATTTCAATTAGCTTTCTGAAAACAGCAAAAGGATGATGAATTTAGGAGAAGAAAAACTGACCCAATATATCTACTCAGAGAATAACAATAAGAAGTGATGCATTGACAGTGGTCATTTAAGATAAAAGAAATTGAAAGATAAAAATGAAGGGATTAAAAGTGAAATCATTCAGCAATGATATTCACTAGACACTATGTTGGAAATGAACTAATAACTTGGGGAGACAGGGAGGGTGGGAGGAAAAAACCTAGGAGAAAATGAGGGGGTGACATCGTTCCAAAAGAAATATATTTATCACCTCACATATATAATGTAACCTCTCTGTACATCACCTTTACAATAAAACAATAAGCATAAAAAAGAAGGGATTTATTTAAAGTAATGATATGGTTATTCATTTAAACCGTATTATAGTAAATACATATATAATAAAACATGAATAATAAACACCATCACTAAACCAAAATAAAAGCCAGACAAAAAGGGTAAACAGAGAAAAGAGCTATACATAAAAACTAGAATCAAGATTCTCATGGCTAGCACTCTATCACTTGAGCCACACCACCGGTCCAGCTTTTTGCTGATCAATAATTAGAGTCTTACAGACTTTCCTGTCCAGGTGGCTTTGAAACATGATCTTCAAGCTCTTAGCCTCCTGAGTATCCAGGATTAAAAGTGTGAGCCATTGGTACTTGGCTAACAGTTTGATTATTAAAAATTATTCAAACAGGAAGAAAAATTAAAAATAACTTAAGCATTGCTATCTTTTTAATTATTTTTATTTAATACAGGGCAAGAATAAATATTTTGACTCTGATTTTACTTTCAGTTAAGGTGTGTGTGTGTGTGTGTGTGTGTGTGTGTGTTACTGGGGTTTGACTCAGGACTTCACATGCATAGATTTGCTTGCTTGGCTGGAGCTCTACCATTTGAACCATGCCTCTATCTCCTGTGATCAGTTTTACCACTTCATATAGCCTCTGTGACAGACTATACATTATTATGTATTTATTAACAGTAATTTCATCTTCATCCTAATGTTTGATATAAAACACTGAAAAATTAGCAAGAAAAAACACTATATAGTTATATATTAAATACATGTACATGTGTATCTATATATTTACAGGAGTTTTCTATACCTATAGAAAACCTACACACACACATATATATACTGCTGATATATATATCAGTATATCAGCATATCACACACACACATGTGTGTGTATATATATATATATATATATATATATATATACTGCTGACAAAAAGCAGTAGGAAAAAATACATAAGTATTATATGTGCATGTAGTTATATCTGCATACACATGAAACATTATATACACATGTCAAACATATATGTATATATAGTTATTTGTATTTGTATGTACTGCCACACATAAATGAAGTGGCTCTATCCTGCTGCCAAGATGTAAGACTATGTGTGAAATTAATTTTAGAAGATTTTCAAATGTAGACCAATATTTTAAAGAGACTAAGAAAAATAGAAGACTAAAATTAATCATATTTCAATGTTGCTCAGAGTTAAGAAATCAGTTATGGAATCAACTATGCAAGAGAAAAATAAAATATTAATTACATGTAAATCTTTCTGGCAAGTAACCCTTTCATACCAAAAAAACAAAACAAAACAACAAATCAATGCCAAATTTCAAGTTTTTACCATGAGCTTTTCTTAACAATACAGTTGGTAGGAACTTTAAATCAAAGTTATAATCTTGCTACTTACAATTTATTTTTTATTATTTTCCATAAATGATTCTACTACTAGGAAGTTCTTGTGAAAAATACCGCACAGCAATCTCTGTAAGACTGTTTCAAACTGTATTCTCCCTTCTAACAATTCCCAACTCAAAAGATGTTTCTTAACTTGCTAACAAAAGGCAAATGCTAGTGTTTGCATAAAATCTATATACATTATTCCATGTAATTTAAATCAACTCTAAGTTACTTAATGTAAACACTATGCAACAGCTGTCATAATATGCTGTTAAGGACATAATGACAGGACAAGGTCTGCATATGCTTAGTATGGATGTAATCCCTCCCATCCCTGGAAACACATTTCTGGATTGGAAGAATACAAGAGTATACAATAATCAGAACTTATTGACATGACCAACTGTCCTCGCAATCATTTTATCTTTTCTTCTCTCACATCTTTCTGGCTATATATCATCCTCAGAATGCATTCTTTTACCTTATTTAATTCAATTAACAACTGAATAAACAATACTTTATCTATAAATTCAAGTGTCTACCAACTCTTAGAATCCTGAGTATAATGTTTATTATTATTATTATTCTAGCACTTTTATCAACTTCCACCTTCCCCTCACAAAGTTTATACTCCATTTCTAAAAGGGTTATTGTCTCTATCTCTCCCCCACCCTCCCTTGGTGTACCAGGGCTCGACCTCAGGGCCTTCCACTCTCACTCAGCTTTCTTGCTAATAACTAGTTCTCTACCACTTAAGCCATATCTCCAGTCCAGCATTTTCCTAACTGGAAATGAAGTGAGCCTGGGCTGACTTTAAACCACAATTCCCTAGGTCTTAGCCTCCTGAGAAGCTAGGATTATAGGCACAAACCACTGATACTTGGCTCTATAGCAACTTTTATCTAACTTTAACAATGACTCTGATTCTACTCAATATGCTTTGAGTAGAAGCAGTATCTGAGTCTGAAACACTATACCTAGTTTTTTCATTTTCTTTCTCTCTCTTCAGCTTTTTCTCGTCTCCCCTTCCCTATCCTTCCCCCTACAGGTTTGCAGACTTAAAACTAGTGCTTAACATTGTGCCCCTTTCCATTTCCTTTCTCTCCATTCACTAGATATACATTTCACTTTAAATACAAATTCAGTATGAATGAATCCTATATAACATCTCCAGCCCAAGTTTCGTAGATTGAAACTATTCTGAGCTTATGTGCTTTCACTTTAACATCAAGTGCTATCAACACTTTGACTTGAGGAATCTTTCACATAGCAGGCTTCCCTCCTTTCCCCAGTAAAGTTTTCTTTTTTTTTGCCGGTCATGGGGCCTGAACTCTGGGCCTAGGCACTGTCCCTCAGCTCTTCAGCTCAAGGCTAGCGCTCTACCACTGGAGCCACAGCGCCACTTCCGGCTTTTTCTGTTTATGTGGTGGTGAGGAATCGAACCCAGGGCCTCATGCTTGCAAGGCATGCACTCTACCGCTAAGCTACCTTCCCAGCCCCCTCCCCAGTAAAGTTTTCGAAGACACGCTCTGTTCTTCTCTCCAACTAAGTCCAGCATTTAACAAGATGTCTGGAATATGACACTGTATACTACACAGCCAACCATTTTTGTGAAGATTATTACCTAAAACTTGCAAAGTTAATTTGCCTTCTCTTGCCTCACAATCTGCCAATCAATTTTCTTAGTCCTGTGACTGATTTCAACCACCTCATCCTTTTCACTTCCAAAGAAATGACCTAGTGAAAGCCAGCCTGAACATTATCGCTATTGCATAGATTATAGTAACATGTTCCTTTCCTTTCCAACCAGTCTTTAACTGTTCCAACTTATGAGATATACCATGGTTACATTCATTTACCACTTTTGTTGATCTAAAACAGTTCTATAAGCTATAGAGTTTTATCCACTAAATCATTTACTCCAAATATTTCCTACTTAAAATGTTCTCTGCACTGTATTTTCTTGTGTATAATAAATTTTCCCTTCATTTTCTCTTTGACAACTATAATCCCTTCAAGATTCCTTTTTTGTTGAAATGGTCTTGCTGTATTAGCTGAGGCTAGATCAACTATTTCATCTTAGCTTCCTAAATGCTGGAATTACCAGTATGTGCCACCATATAGTCTTTATTGATCTTCTCTTTAACTATACTGTAAACACCTTAAGGGCAGTATTGTTTTGTTTTTTTCAATGTTTAGCTGTATTCCTAGCACCCAGGACAGTACTCATTCATCTTTTAAATGTTTAAATGTGTTGCAGTTCAAAAGACAAAATCAGAGGGAAAAAAAAAAAAACTCTAAAAAAATCAACATTTAAAGCAGATTTTAACTTAATCATCCCAGTGTTTTCTAAGTAAGTCAAGCTTAATTCTTAGTCTACCTAACAAATGTTTGTATATTTTTATTACCATACGGTATCCCGAGGCGTTCTTGTTCCTTTCTATAACCTTCCAGTGCAGCAGCCCATCTTGTCACTTGTTCTGAGGTTTCATCGGTAATTGTTGTGATGTGTTTTGTGCCATCAAGGGTTATCACTTGAGCTTCTTCAACAAGATGGGCTTCTGCTTCAGCCTGGTGTTCATCTGGATCGATAACGACTTCAACTGTTTCCGCAGTTTTAACAATTTCAAGGATATTTAGCTTTGGCTCAATTCCTTAACAGTGCATAAAAAAAATATAAATGTAAATGAAAAGACACAAAGAAATAAAATTTAGTTTATGTTCTCAAATGGTAGGAAAAAACCCTATGTTTTAAGTGTTTTTAACCAGTATGTCTAATGATTTTAACAAATAACAATAAATATAATTCAGTACAACTTCTGTAGGAACAATACTGACTTAATACTAATTTCCCAATTCTGAAAATTACTGTGGTCCTATTAAGGAATCTTTGTGACAGCTTTCTCCTTTTGTGTGTGTATGTGTGTGTGTGTTACTAGAGAATGAGCCAAGGGTCTTGTACATGCTTATTCAAGAGTTTTATGCTATAGCTCCAGCCTAGGATCCTTATTTTGAAGGAAACAAACACACTGATTATATATTTAACAGAAAGGGATTATGTCTGCAAATCTACCCTTAAACAGTCATAATAAAAGTAACACCTGAGATAGCTGGGATCATAGCTTAGTTATAGAACACTGTCCCAAGTTTGATCCCTACTTTGCAGGGAAAAAAAAAAGGTAACATCTAAGAAATACAGGTGAAAGATATCCAAGAAATCATTCACCCAGCTGCCAACTATGTAAAATGATTCATACACACACGTACACACATTTACATGCACATACCCCACAAAACTTACTGTAAACATCATTAGAAAAAAGGTACCAGTTCTTAAACAGTAAAGCCAATATGGAATGAAAATAAAAATCATGTTAGGGGAAGCAAAAATTTAGTTAACTATCCTAGGAACTATAAGCATATTGAAATTACAAACTCTGTATTTATTAAAGAACAAAGTACATGTGCTCAAAATGATGACTGTTACAAATTAAATTTCTATCATCCAACTCAAGTTCTGGAGATGATCAAACACTAGTTAAAACTTACTAGGAATTGTAACTCCTATAGAAAAGGTAAATATAAAGATGATTCAGATGATTTATTAATACAGCCTCCTTAATATTTACCCAGGTAAAAAAATTAAAACTTTCAGAAATTAGAATTCAGCTAAGAAATTATATCATAAAAGCAAGTTGTAGATTCTATTTATTCAAATTGGAATCAAGTAGCCCTTTATGAAATAATCTGATAATTATGTTAAGAAAATAGATTATCATTTATTGGTGGCATTAAAAAAACCCTCACTTTTTTCAAATTTACGTGACAAAAGTGAGAATTGAAAAAATACTTTACTGAGACTATTTCTTAATCTCCAATGCAATTTTCATATTTCATGGCTTCAGGTCTATTCTTTTTAGAACTCGCAGTGAGAGGTCATAGGACTTATAGGAGGAGCTGGGTGCTGGTGGCTCACACCTGTAATCCTACCTACTCAGTAGGCTGAGATCTGAGGATCATGGTTCAAAGCCAGCCCGGGCAACAAAGTCCTTGAGACTCTTATCTCCAATAAACCACCAGAAAACCGAAAGTGGCACTGTGGCTCAAGTGGTAGAGTGCTCACCTTGAGCTGAGGAGCTGAGGGACAGTGCCCAGACTCATGACCAACAACAACAAAAAATTACAGGGAAGTAGAATGACTCTGATGAAGGGAAAGTGAAGGAGGGTGAGTTTAATAGGATATATTATACATCCATAAATATGTACATGTATAGAAATGCTACAATTAAACAATTCTTATACTAATGTGTGCTAATTTTAAGAAACCCAACAACAAAACCAACAAATTTTTTTCCATATTTGGAATGATTAATCCTGGGGAGAATTAAAGACCAGAGTAAGTAATTTTTATTTGTAAAATCCAAAGGGAACTTTTTATTTACAGAACACAATTATGAGCATTTAATTCCTTCGATAATTCAAGTCGAAAATCACATTTTTAGAAACTAAAATGCTGTGGTGCATGTAGCTGGTGACAGCTGTACTGAAGCTCCAGGGGAAGCTTTCAGATCATGACAGAGCAGCAGCTTTCTTAGTGGTAGAGTGTTGTAGTGTGGCTCAAGGTAGCTAGAATTCTCTAACATTCCTGTCATCTTATCATTCTATTTACTACAGCGAGACATAATCCCTTCATTTAAATAAGTTAGGTGGAATGTGTTATATTATCTACTTCACCCTGACAGAGACAACTAAACCCAAGGACGAATATCTGGCTATTCCACCACATTATATCATTAATACAACCATCTAAAATACAACATTAAAAAAGTGAGTTAGTCTATCCGGAGACATGCACTAGACTTTTAAGTAACTGTCACTACAAGTAACTTACCTTGATAAGAAATTACCTGTACACTAAGCTGTACAGTTCCATCTGTCTTTACTCCCTGGTCAAATAAGCTCCGTTCTGGATCCAGCTAAACACAAGTAAAATGAGTACGATTATTTTAACTAAATACTTAGATGAAGTTCACTGCCTCTGATTTAGCATAAATGGATATGCTAAAGAAGACTTAATTGCTGACCATATTAAATTATGACACATTTCCTTAGCTAAGTTGTCTAATTATTTCTTTGTAAAATTAAAAATATTCTGATTGAGAGTTAAACCACCAAATTATTTTAAAAAGCAGTTTTCTCTCAGAGATAAGGAATCTTGGTTGAGATCTTAAATAATGCCAAAAAGCAATTTTCCATTCTTAGAATATATTTAAAATAGAAGATAATACAGTGTATGCTATATATTATCAAGAATAATTATTAGAAACAACCATATATCTAAATTTATTCATGTTATGTTACAGTTCTCCCTCTAATGTGACATATATGGAGATTAGAGTTCATTGTAAATCTCTGATCACAAAATTAGTAAAATTAAAGCATTTTTGACATTACTGCTATATCTTTAATACATAGTACCCCTTGAACATTGGTGCTTTTTTCCCTTCACATTAACTTATAGTGAATACATTTCACACAATGGCAAATTGGTGAGAAAAAAAAATCACATATATAAAACATAGAACCTTAAATGATTACACATCTAACTTGAACAGGGATAATACAAACCAGGAAATCCAGGAAGCCCATGAGAAGTGCAATTTTATTTTTATAATGGTGTCTGCCTGACATTTTGCTACAAATTCTTGTAACAACAAGTTTTTCCCCCTTGTTTACAGAAACTAGTGTTAGCAACTAGAAGGTATGGCATGTACAGCTCCCAACATTAAGACTGCAGGTACAGAGGATATACTACTGTAGTAGAAGCTGGCACAAAGTCAAAACTCAAGCATATTAGGTACATGGGCAGATGAAATAAGGGCAACAGAGAACTGAAAAGCCAATCATCTAAAAGATGACAGCAATACATTTATATAAGTTTATATTAAAAACAACACAACTCTATCTAGTAGACTGATTTTATTAAAGTATATAGATCACAGAGAAATTATATGAGCAATCTTATTTACACTACCAATTTTCATACACATGAAACATAAATGTGAATATGGTTCAAGCATAATATATTATTATAATACTATACTGGATAAATTCCAAGAAATACCATATGGTATTTAAATCTTATACAAAATTTACCACCAAAGTGGGAAGGAGGGGGAGCGGGGAGGATTGGGGAGGGCAGGGGGAGGATGGGAAGGGATGGGAAAGGGAAACAAAGGAGGCTACAATGCTTGATAAGAAATGTACTCATTATCTTGCCCATGTAATATAACCCCTTTGTACAGTATTTTCACAATAAAAATAAATAAATAAAAATTTACCACCAAAGAAATGGAAAGGGTTGAGGAAACTCATTTATTTCACCAAATGATGTTATTTTAAAGGTAAGGAAACTGGTGCACAAAAATGTCAAAGTAAGTGAGAAATACACTTCTTCAGTTCAGGGTGAATGGTGAATGTGCTTCCAAGTACTCTTTTTTTAAGATTTAATAAGAATTCTTTTTTTTGTATGTTTTTGTGGTAAAAATACTGTACAGAGGGGTTACAATTACATGAGCAAGGTAATGAGTACATTTTCTATCAAGCTTAATCTCTGATTTATTTAAACTTCCCATTTTATACTAGTAAAAGGGAGTATCTGATTTAGTACTCAGTCTTTGACATATACAGGAAGTTGGTTAAAAGTATTCTTTTTATTTCTCAATGCTTAATCACAGTACTGGTCAAATCTATGTACAGAGATAAGAGACTAACAAAAATATTTCTATGCAGTGAAATTCTAAAATTCAAATCTAAAAAAAAATTACCTGGATATCTTGAAGGCAAATTTCATGAGCATCCAATGAACATTGTAATCGTGGTTCTAGTAATTTCTTTAAATTACCTATTGGCTCATTGATATCTATAGCCTGGCTTATACATTCAGCTGGCGTGTAGGTTTGTTCCACAATGCTAAATGTTAAAGAATATCAAAGTTAATGCAATGTTCAATAGGCAGTGTACTCATTACCTTACTCATGTAACTGTAACCCTCTGTATAGTATCTTTACAATAAAAAAAAAGTTAATGATGATTAGTTTGGATATTAAAGTAACATTATGCTCTAAGCAAACTATAATACAAAAATACTTTTCTAGTCTTTGAGAACCCATTTCAAGTAAACTAATGTTTTCAAAATAAATCAACTAATGTTTTTCAAATAAATACTTTTATAGAAAACTTGAAACATATTAACTCTTGAAAATATGACATATTATGCATACATTTATGCATATACTTATATATGCATATGTGTATATAAATATTACATATAGAGTATTTAAGGAAAAATACTTGCACTGACACATATCCAAGTTATTTTGAAGAACTTCTGGCCTAGAGAGGACACTACCTTCTCAAATTGTATGTCATCTCTACTAGACATCTCCTATTCCCAAAATAAACAATCTAATATATGTAAAATAAGATATAAAAATGAAAATATTTTATGCACTATAACAGTAAACAGTATTTCTCCTTAACTTTCTTAGGGCTCTTTTTAAAAATTATTTCATATTCTGGGTTTAAAAGGGTTAAAATCTTTGGTATAAGTTCTACTTAATTACATTATTACATTTTTATTTGCTTGTATTTTATTATATTACACTGGATACATTGTATATGTATTTTAGTTATATATTAATTATAATTAATACATTCTACTACTACACATACTTATATAAGGCCAAATATATAAGAGACCAAATAAGTATTACTTGCTGAATTGATGTAGAATTAAATTAGGTTTCACCACACATTTAAATATGATTTAAACATCAGTTGTAATAGTCAAAAGCAATTATGTACTAAAAAATTTGCCAAGTTCCATTTTACATAAATTCCAAGTAAAAGAAAATATACATGGTATTTAACGAATGTATATAGCACAAAATTTTCCTAAACCATTTAAAATGCATTAGACCGTTCCTAGTTGAAAACATAGCACGTTTTAAAATATTCACTATTATTATGTGTTAAAGTAAAAAAAAAAACTTTACGCTAAGTGAATCATTTTTTCTTGACAGATCTTTCACTAATGAACACAGTTGGCTATGATTTTTAAAAGATTCAAATACCATTATAAAACATTGTTTGTAACAGTTGCACCCAATCAACCCCTGTACTGGGTTTTGAATCTAGAGCCTTGCACCTGCTAGGCTATCACTAAGCCATGATTATTTTTTACCCTGGTTATTCTTATTTTTTAAATACCAGTCCTGAGGCTTGAACTTAGGGCTTAGGTGACTTCCTTGAGCTTTATTGCTCAAGATTGTGCTTCACAACTTGAGCCACAGTTCTACTTCCAGGTTTTTGGTGGCTAATTGGAGTAAAGATTACAGGTGTGAGCTACAGTTACCCCAGTTATTTTTGAGATAGGTAGGTCCTTGTTCCTTGCCCTGGGGGAAATACCTGGGCTGTGCTGTTCTCTTTTTATCTTCCTCTCCCATAGCTATGTGGTGACAGACAGGTGCCACTATTTCATTCAAATAATCTCATTTTATTCATTTAATCCAAACAATTACTGGTTTATAGTAATTGCTCATAAATAAGTATGTGCTAAATTTGTTCAGGATAAATTTAAACTCTAAGAAATAAAAGTAGCCAACACTAAGCTAAAGTATAAAGCATCACATCAAATAATGTATTAAAGAGGTAAAATATTACAATTAACTGCTTGGTGATTATCAGTTAAACTAACTGCCACCTTTAAGAATGTCTATAAGGCGGCTGGGAAGGTGGCTCAGTGGTAGAGCGCTTGCCTTGCATGCATGAGGCCCTGGGTTTGATTCCTCAGCATCACATAAGCAAAAAGAAAAAAGCCGGAAGTGGCACTGTGGCTCAAGTGGTAGAGTGCTAGCCTTGAGCTGAAGAGCTGAGGGACAGCACCCAGGC